TGACTCAAAAAAAAAAAAAAAAAAAAAATGTAGGAGAGGTCCTTGTTTGGAGAAGAGTATGGCAACATTTCTCAACTAACTCAAATAGTTCAGGAAAAAAATGACTCTTTCTCAAAAAGGTGGGTGAGGAGGACAGAGAGGGAGAGAGGGAGGTGGGGACAAATGCATTAGAATGTTGTCAATTGCAGAATCTTGCAGAGTATGCATGGGAGTTTTTTGTGCTGTTCTGGCGATTTTTTTGTAACTTTGAAATGATTGCAAAATTAAAAACTAACTGAAAGCATACAAAAATAAAGCTTGAGAGAGGAGGTGGTGTGAAGCAAAGTATCAATTGCCAAGAAATGAATGTGCTCAAAAATTCTTTACGGTTAACAAATATTATATATATATATAACTCATGGGATATGAGTTATTTTTATGTACTTATTAAGCAGTAACTAAAAGATAAGAGATGGGCTTATTTTGTATGCAGAAGAAATAAAATTTTCGTATTAAAAATGTATTTGCTCAGAATTAATTTGGCATGATTACTGTAAGGAAAATTTATGTTATAGCAAAATGATACAGGAATCAAAACTGAATGTGAAAATTCTTTTAAATGCCCCAAGTATATTAAAATTATTGGAATAAGTGATGTTTCTAAAACAAAAATCATTTATGCTAAGCAAATATTCTCTTAAAATTAACACCAATTTCTTCAGGGTAGAAAATACTAGCAAATGAAGGACCGGCTACTTCAACTGCAACACTCACATTGAGATGATTTATTAACCAAAATTTAATTCCAAAATAATTGTTGGATAATACAATCCTAACATTTTGAAATATTGAATCAATTTTTAAGATTCCTAGATTAAATATACACTTTGAAAAGTTATTATGAATCTTAACTATTACATCTATAATAATAGACAGTTAAAATTGAATGATGAGTACAAATAAAGAATGGGTTATTTAAGTGGTATCACCGCATATGGAAATAAAAACTTTAAGATGTTTTATAAAATCTAGTGTAAACTTTAAGATACTTTATAAAATCCAGCTGAAGTATTGCATGTATAGTGTATATTTAATAGCTGTATAGATATATTTCTAAATACTTTTGTATTTCTAATATATATTTAACTTTATCATTATCAAAACTGAGAATGCAGCAACTTAAAATTAAAAATTATTTTAATATATGTGCCACCAAAGTGAGCACTCAAAATTAAAAATTATTAAAAACTACTTGACATCTAAGAATGTCACAAGAAAAAAGTCGACATAGAAAAAGAGATGTTGAAAGAGCATACTAAAGTGAGTTATTAGAGAAAAATTGAAACTGTCATGAAAACAAGATGTGTAACTATTCTACAACAAATTATAATAATCTAGTTCCTTTACTAGGATTAAAATTAATTTTTTTTTTACTTGAAGAATTGGTGCTTACTTTTTTTATAATCAGAACAAAGTTGCCAAAAGCTTGGGATGGTAACAGCAGAAATAGCAGAGAACTCTTTTAGTCGAGAAGGGAGACTTGTACAGTAATAATGAGATACCAAGAAAGATGAAGGGAGTCTGAGAATCCCTCTATCATCTGATAATGACCAGAATGACAGGCCTGTCATAGGACCAGGTCAGAAGAGGATAATGTAGTAAACCTTTGTCTTTAGTCACTGTTACAGAGATAAGGAACACTAATGAGAATTGCTAGTTGAAAAAAATAATTATCGTTTATTTCTTTTGTCTCTCACAAAAAATTTATTGAACACTTACAATATGTCAAGCACTGTCTTAGGAATACAGCGTAAGAAATATTTTCTTGTTTTTATGTTCACATAGAATAGATCAGGAAACAGCTGGGAAATAACTAGTTGGAATACTGTGAAATACGTTCTCTAATATACTTCTGTTAAAAGTATAATTGTGGCAGGCCGGGCGTGGTGGCTCACACCTATAATCCCAACACTTTGGGAGGCTGAGGCGAGAAGATTGACTGAGCCCAGGAGTTCAAGACTAGCCTGGGTGTCTTGGCGAGAACTCATCTCTACAATAAATAAAAAAATTACCCAGGCATGGTGGCACGGGCTTATAGTTCCAGCCACTTGGAAGCCTGAGGTGGAAGGATCTCCTGAACCCAGCAGGTCGAGGCTGCAGTGTCCGTGAGCTTGCCACTGCACTCCAGCCTGGGTGACAGAGTAAGGCTCCAACTCAAAAACAACAACAAGAACAACAAACAAAACAAAATTATAAATGTATTGCACACTTGAGATCACCTAACTCTGAACCAGTTTCACAGAGGAAGAGCTATTTGAACTGGATCAGAATGATGGGTAAATGCTACACATAACACGTACAATTGATTGTTGTAAAGGTTCAAGTTAACCATTGGTGAAGCTATTTACAAGGGCATATTGATTAGAAAGTCTCAATCTGCAAGAAACCAAAGCTCACACCCACAATTATTTAAATAACAATGGAATTTATAAACTAGCACAATAGAAATTCTAGAAATAAAGTAGCCTTTATTTCCTTCTACTTTTTTCTGCTCTGCCATCCTCAGTTTTGGCTTCATCTTTGAGTAGGTAACACAATGGATGCAGCAGTTTTAAATATCACATAAAACAGGAAAATGTGCAGAGGAGGAAGAGAGATTGTCTCTCCGTCTGGCTCTCTCATAGGGGTGGGGAATTTTATGGAAGCCTGAAATTTGTCCTTTCTTTCCGTCTCTTGGGCCAACAGAGTTCTAAAATGGACCACAGGATTGATTTCTGAATTAATCTATGATAGGAAAATAGGATCAGCAAAGATAGTTGCACTAATGGGAGACATTACACCACTAGCCTATAGGTATACCCATATATGCTTGCTATCTTTCATGTGTAGTTTGTACACATCTAGAACTTGTAAAGCAAGTACTAATAATTTACTCTATATTTGACCATCACCTCTGAATGCACCTTTGACTGTTGAGGCATTTATTTATTTTTATATTTTATTTTATTTTTTTAAATTGGGGAGTACAATTCAGGGTTAGGTATACAAATATTCATTGTGCAGCTACCCTTGTTGATGAGGTATAAGGTATTTATTTTAAGTATGGGTCTCAGTTTCCTGAAATTGACTCGTGTTTTTGCTTACTTTTTTGCCCTGCAGATAATTTAACAGTCTCACCTATAGATATATCCTGTTATGAGTTTCTCCTTTATATGTTTTCATGAAAAGCAATTCTTTACTCCACTTATTACTTTGTGGTGCCAAAACATCAACTTCTTGTTTGTTTTGTCCACAAAAAGATGGTTTGAATAAATATGTCTCTAAATTGAAGGAATATTTCATACAAATCAGCTAAAAGTATGTATATTCTTCTTCTGGTGCCCGACACAGAGATTTAAACTATTTGCTGCCTTTGTCTTTCTTTTATTTTATTTTATTTTATTTTTAAGTTGAAGTCTCGCTCCATCGCCCAGGCTGGAGTGCAGTGGCACACTCATGGCCACCCAGCGTTGACCTGCTGAGCTCAGGCGATCCTTCCGCCTCAGCCTTCCAAGTAGCCGGAACTACAGATGCATGCTACCACGCCCGGCTAATTTGTTTATTTATTGTAGAGATGAGGTCTCACCAAGTTGCCTGGGCTGGTCTCGAACCCGTGGACTCAGGCAATCCACTCGCCTTGGCTTCCCAAAGTGCTGGGATTACAGGTTGAACCACCAAGACCGGATTGTCATTCTTTCAGAATGCAGATGCCAAACATCATTTTTCTCCATGAAACTTCCCAAAATTTTCCTTCACAATTTTAAGTGGTATCTTTTAACATTAAGATTAGTTTGTATACCTGAAAGATGGATTTTCCAGGCATTAACTCCACTTCGTTTTTAAAGCTTAAATCACCTACCACTATTCAATGATAGCTATCACTTTTCTTCCTAGTCCTCAATTACCCTCGATTAACAACAATGATAATATTAATAATACTCTCTACCTCACCCCAAGAAACTATAGGCATTTCAGTTAGATTAACTAATATCAGTCCAACAACCCTGCAAGAAAGAGAAGAGGAGAGATTATTTTAATGAAGAAGGAGTGTCCAGGCACTGTGACTTGCCTAAACAAAAAACAACTGAGGTGGACGAAGCAAACATTTTCTTGCCTTGGGTGGAAAAACACCCTAGCATTTTTCCCAAATGTGTTCATCAGACATTTGTCAGTTTATTCTTTAGGAATGATTTACTGTTGATTGTTCAAAAGGCTGATCTCCATTGAAAATTGTCTGTATTTGAAAATATCAGGTGACTCTAGGGTGTAAGTCTCTTTGCTAAAAGCTATAATTGTCGGACTTCATTTAATTACATGGAAATTTTCTGTCTCTTAATTTGAAGTTAAATAAAATGAGTCAAATACTGGTGCCCAGACTCTTTAGTTTTGCTGCTACTGCCCATTGGCCATTCCAGAAGTGTCATGTAATGAAGATGCTCTTTACAGTAAGCTACCGATAGCAGTGTAATGCCGTTATTTCTTTGGTTTCCAGTTGTGAAGTGCTTCTTCTGAGTAAGATTTTCAGGATGGTTGAGCCCTTTTTGGGAACCTGGAAGATGGTCTCCAGTGAAAACTTTGAAGACTACATGAAAGAACTGGGTGAGAAATATCATTACAGAATTTGGAAACTGGTGAAAGCATTTTGTGATATGGTTGGATTTGCACTTTACAATTAATTTTCCTACAATTATCTTTCTTTTATGATCTTATGGTATGTTCATATGAGACTAACATAGTTTATGCTCCCACTTTAGCTTTTTAAAATTACTAGCAATAATTGTCTCTTTTTTGGAAGACTAGGTCCACAGACACTTCTTTCCAGTCATAATACAAATATTTAATGCCATTTATCCTTTTTGAAAATTCTTCAGCCTACCTCCAGATAGAGTTTCTCATTGGCTTGCTCATTTCATTTGGATATGTTTTTCCAGCTTCAAATTTATAGACAAGATTCACTACCTTTATTTAAATTTATCAATTAAATCTGCTTGAAATTCAATTGTTGCTTTAAGTTATAACTTTAAAAGAGCAGTAGCATTACACAAAAATTCTAGTAAGTTAGTTTTTAGGGTTCTCATACATGTGAGAGACATTTTAAACACATTATTTGAAAAATTTCAATTTTGATGGGTGAAATAGGACATGATATAGCTCGGAAATATAAATCCTACTTACTTTTTGTCTCTGACTCAAGACGAATAAATTGAGCATTAATTACAATGACTTGGGCCTATAATAACTAAACTCATGTTTCTCACTAACATTGGAAGAACAGCAATTAATATTTTCTATACTTACCTAAGAGAAACCTGCCTTGCAATAGTAAATGGTATACAAAGCCAAGGATTTTCTTGTCTTTTTTTTTTTAACTTGCCTTCAGTGATCAGTGGATGCTTACAACTATTCATTGTGTTTACTCATTCTGGATAATGAGACAACAATCCCTTATCTCCCATAGGAAGTCAATGTGCTTATAAGTGAAATATTTTTCCTCATTTGTTGTCAGTATTAACTTTCTCTTACCTCTTCTTAGAGGTAAGAAGAAACAAATTTTCCTATGTCTTTATGGAATTATAGACTTACTTGTTTTGAATTAAAATTTGGGACCATATAAGATACTTGGGACTTAGGCCAGAATAGCACTTGTTTTGATTTGGAGCTGGGGTCAGTCATGGCACAATGAGGAATAACAGCTTAGCACCTACTAGGTACCAGTAGTACGCCAAGTCTTTTTGTTTAATCTTCTAACACATCTGTAAGGTAAAAACTCTAGTTATCCACACATGACTATTGAGAGAACTGAAGGCGAGAGAAGGTAAACAAAATGGCCAAGCTAGCCAGTGGCCAAGTTGGAGACCAGGTTTTAACCACATCATGCTCCTCTGTGATCCACATGTCTAATACTAGTTTTCTGCAGTGAGATGCATCACATCAGCTCCACAATCTGGAGTCAGCTCTTCTGCCTGCCTACTGCAAGAGTCAAGTCTGACAATGGAAAATCCGCACCCTGAACAATAGACCAGACTCTAAGTCAAACTCCTCCTGTACTGTTGTGACACTCTGTGAGGTGAAGTGCAAACATTCGATCACTTGAAAGGCACCCTACAAATATACATTTTAGACAAAGCACGATCGTTTCAGAGAGTGGATTTAGCTTTTCAAAGTGTCAAATATGATTACTAGGTATACCTTATGATTGGCAGGATCTGGCCCAATCCACATATTACAGATAGCATAAAAGAAGTTACTGAACATTATCCAAAACTTCAATAGGGGAAGTATGTGCTTTTTGAAAATTGATTTCCAAAATGATTGTTAGAACACTTGTTCCTAAATATATTAATAAGGTGTGCTATTTCCTTTGTCTTACAGGAGTGAATTTTGCAGACCGGAACATGGCAGGGTTAGTGAAGCCAACTGTCAGTATTAGTGTCAATGGGAAAATGATGACCATCAGAACAGAAAGTCCTTTCAAGAACATTGAGATGTCCTTTAAGCTGGGAGAAGAATTTGATGAAACCACAGCAGACAACCAGAAAGTAAAGGTCAGAACTAAATCTTCCTGGTGTTTATCAATCAAGAAAAGACTAGAAGGTGGTTAAGCATGGTTTTCTCTGTAACTGATGTATTACCAAGTCAGTCTGGACTTGTTCTGTGAATGTCTGCATTTCACTAAAGTCAATCCTTTTGCTAATGATTTTGATGGTTTAAACAGGGCTGAAAATTTCAAATTGTTTTCACTTTATTTTTCTGATCTTTCTTTGTCACTGTATAAAAAACACATAGAAAGGAAAAATTAAGCACAAATAGCCTAGGTATTGCTTGCTTGGGAGAGAGTACTCATTGAATAATCTCTGAGGACTTCTAGTTTGCCGATATTAAATTAATGACAAGAACTGAAGTGAGGATTTGGAAGAAAAAAATTTTAAAACAGAAATTAAAAATAGTTGTCTGGTCTCGTATAGGTTGGAATGATGTGAATTGTTACTTCTAACTCATTTCTTTATGCATTTGTAGAGCATTATAACATTAGACAGTGGCTCAATGATTCAGGTCCAAAAATGGCTTGATAAAGAGACAACAATCAAAAGAAAAATTGTAGATGGAAAAATGGTAGTGGTAAGTTCTCTCTAAATTAAAATGTTTATATGCTCTTATTTGAATCATGGCTTTTAAGTTATTCAGTTGTTTTTGCACCCTGAATTGAGGGTTAGGTCTGGGGAGAAAAGGGTAGGGCAAGTTTAGCCTGTTATCTACCAACTCTAATAGAGACCTCTTTGTTTTTAGGAATGTACCATGAATAATATTGTCGGCACCAGAGTCTATGAAAAGGTGTGAAGAAAAGGTCCACATCAATGAAAACTTGTTTGCTGACAGGAAACTGATACTTGAAAAAGATATGCCCTCAGGACCAGTGACTCTTTAAAAATGTCTCAATATAAATTTGCTTAATAAAAGCATCAAGTCAAGTGCAGTCTTGGAGCTGTGTGGTAATGAGGGCTAGGGACAACCTGATGACTTGGTGAGGCAAAAAGCTACTTGCCTATGGTGTGATTTTAACAGCGTCAAAGGCCCCTCTGATCTCTGCCCACCTGACTTCAAAAATCCTTGAGTTCCTGCCAAGGAATCCAGTCTGGGGTGATGCATTCTATGAAAGTCATGTGGAAATTCATGTGGCATCAAAGAAGGATATATTCTCCCATTGGAATCCAATTTGGACAGCACAGTTCCAAAAATCAATGTCGCTGAGTTTTTATTTTTGCAGACGTCAGGCCTTGCTTAAAGTAGATAGATTAGATGATGATGAAGATAGATGATAGATAATGAAGATGATAGGTAGATTGATAGATACTCTTTTAGAGTAAATATCAGTTTTCTCAGGGTGTAATAGGAAACAAGTTTTTCTATCTCTTCACAGATTTATAAAAATCACTTGTTCTAAATTAAAATTTGGAGGCATATAGGAAACTTGGGACAGAGAGAGAGAGAGAGAGAACACAAAAGCAGCCTGGATATTATATACTATGGTTGAGTTGTTATGAAAACATATTTAAAGCTGTCATTTTTCTCACTTCTCTATATATCCATTTAAAATAATCAGGCTAGTACATCTGCTACCACTATTTACAACTGAGCCTTTACAGAATGACATTTTATTAAATGCCAATCCTAAATTTCTAAATGCCTAGTAAGATTATAATTGCCAGAACGATACAAAGTCCTTTAATAGTTTCACCAAATGCTGTTGCTAAGAATGGGTACTCTCAGAGCTTAGAATAAAACAGAGTAATGGAGGTAAAATTGATGGGTAAAGCATAAAAAACTGAGGATACTTGTAGTAATGGGAGAAGGGAAAAGAGAAAGAGAGAAATTATGGAAATGATCATATTGTACCTTAAATTGAAACATTGGTCAAAAATAAATCCTAGAGTAATGTTTATTATGCACTAGAATAGAATGTTTATGTAATTTGTCATCCAAACTGGGTAAGAAGTTAAAAGTCAAAAGGCCACTACTAAGAATTATGGCTGGACAGCAGGGGACTGTTCTAGTCAAACTGGGGGTTACGGTCGCTTTAATAAGGGTGGAATTGAGGGATAGTGAGCAACAAGACTAAAGCATAGGGTGAGGCTTTAACTGAATCCTGGTCAAGGAAAGGAACCAGGACTGTCACATTAAACCCTGAAGACTCCTGAGCATTCAGCTGTGCACCAGAAGTGATGGCCTTGGTGCTAGCCACATAGCTGCCAGTTGTGGGCAATGATAGTCATCCTCACAAGACCTATCCTTCTCCTTCCTAAAGGACTCAAGTGTGATCACAATGGAATCATGCTCATGCTCCAGACATGGAAGAGATTTTCAACCCCTGAGGCGATGTCTTGTGCAAAGGCGCACATGAGGCGATGCCTCCTTAATCAGCCTCTGCAAGAGAGCTGGGGATGACAGCTACTTTAGTGGCTCCTCAGAGAAGGAGTCAGAGAGTATTCCACGACCGGCAGGAAGAATAAATTACAAAGCACTAGGCACTTACTCATCTAAATCTTTAGCTTCATGCAGGTGTGATTAAGAAAAGAATAATGCAGTTCTCAATTCTCAAGGCATGATTCAATTCATAAACATTAAACAACTCAAAATACAAAGAACCTGAATGAGAAACTAAACCCTGATGTTAAGTATTTGAGTAGATAGAATGAAACATGTTACTCCCAAGGAGATTGTTTATTCATTCATCCAACAAATTCTTCCTCAGTGATCAGTGTGTCTGACATTGTCTTAAGTGCTAGAAAACAGCAGTGAGTTGGGCATGCCATTCGCAACTGCCTTTCCATGTTTCATTATAGCAAAGGCATCTGGAAACATAAATTCTTTCTTTTTTATTCTCAGTCAAATCATGTTGAAATTTTTTTAAAGTTTATTTAAATTTATACGTATAATCATGAGTCTTTTCGTGATTTGTTTATTTATTTATTTGCTTGTTTGTTTATTTATAGAATCCTGGGATAACATGTATGTGTTATATAGGCATATTGTTATAAAGGTGAGGTTTGGGCTTCTGAAAAGCCTGGCCCTCCCCCCAGCGGTGAGCATTTGTACCTAATGAGTGCTTTTGCATCCCTTATTCCCCCTCCCTCCTTTAGCGATGTCTGGTGTCTGTTCCCATTCTTGTGCCCAAGTGTACTCAGCATTTATTACTTTCTTATGAGTGAGAACATGTGGTATTCAGTTTTCTGTTTCTGTGATAATTCATTTAGGATGATGACCATGTTGCTGTAAATGCCATGATTTTGTTCTTTTTTATGGCTGCATAGTATTCCCTTGTGTATATGTACCACATTTTATTTATTCTGTCCACTGTTGATAGGTACTCGGCTTGGTTTCATGCTTTTACTATTGTGAACAGTGTTACAATAAACATACAAGTGCAGGTATCTTTTGATAGAACGATTTAGGCTCCTCTGAGCATGGTCGCAGAAGTGGGATTGTTGGGTCAAATGGTAGCTATATTTTTGGTTCTTTGAGAAATCTCCAAACTGCTTACCACAGGGGCTGAAGTACCTTACATTCTCAGCAACAGTGTATGAGTGTGCCCTTTTCTCTAAAACCTTGCCAACATCTGTTATTTTTTGACCTTTGAATAATAACCATCCTGATCAGTATGAGATGGTATCCCATTGTAATTTTTATTTGCATTTCTCTGATGGTTAGTGATGGTGAGTGTTTTTCAATATTTGTTGGCTGCTTGTATGTCTTCCTTTGAGAAGTATCTGTACGTGCCCCTTGCTCACTTGTTAATGGGTTTATTTATTAATTTATTTTCCTGTCAACCAATTTGAGTTTCTTACAGATTCTGGATATTAGACCTTTTTTATTAGTGTATAGTTTGAAAATATTTTCTTCTATTTTGTGGGTAGTCTCCTTACTCTTTTGATGGTTTATTTTGCTGTGCAGAAACTTTTTAGCTTGATAACGTCCCACCTGTCAATTTTAATTATTGCTGTATCTGCTTTTGAGAACTTGGACATGATTTTGTTGCCCAGGCCAATGTCCAAGATAAGTTCCCAAATTTTCTTCTAAGATTTTTATCATTTGAGATTTTATGTTTAAGCGCTTGGTCCATTTTGAGTTAATTTTTATATTTGGCAGTAAGTAGAGATCCAGTTTCATTCTTCTGCATATGGTTAGCCAGTTTTCCCAGGATCATTTGTTGAATAGGTTTTCTTTTTCCCAATGTTTATTTTTGTTGGCTTTGTCAAAGATGAGTTGGTTATAGATCTGTGGTTTTATTTCCAGGTTCTCTACCCTGTTCCATTAGTCTATGTGTCTATTTTTGTGTCAGTACCATGCTGTTTTGGTTACTGTAGCCTTGTAGTAAAGTTTGAAGTCAGAGACTGTGATGCCGTCAGCTTTGTTCTTTTTGCTGAGGATTGCTTTCCCTATTCAGGTTCTTTTTTCTTCCATATGAATTGTAGTATTGTCTTTTCTAAGTCTGTGAAAAATGTTGCTGGTAGTTTGATAGGGATTAGATTGAATCTATAGATTGCTTTAGGTAGTATGAACATCTTAACAACATTGATTCTTCCAGTCCACGAGCATGGACTGTTTTTCCATTTCTTTGTGTCATCTTTGATCACATTAAGGAGAGTTTTGTAGTTCTCATTGTAAAAATCGTCCACTTCTTTGGATGTAATCCAAGATATTTGTATGTGTGTATTGTGAATAGGATTGCATAAGAAAGCAACTGATTTTTGAGTATTAATTTTGTATTCTGAGACCTTACTAAAATAATTTATTAGTGCTAGGAGATTTTGGTGAAATCTTTTGGGTTTTCTAGGTATACAATCATATCATCTGTGAAGAGAGATATTTAACTTTCTCTTTTCCTTTTTGGATACATCTAATTTTTTTCTCTGCCCTAATTGTTCTAGCTAGGACTTCCAGTGCTATGTTAAATACGAGTGGTAAATCATTAGTCTTTACCAAGAACTTTCACATAATCAGATTCACATAATGTCTTCTTGTATATCTAACTCATCTTCAAAAGTCATCATGTATCTCTAAGTAAATAATAATATACCATATTTGTCTTGTATAGAAGAAAGATGGTAATGAATTTTTTCATTATAGTGAGTTACTCAATATAAAGTCATTATGTACTTACTTTCCAAGAGGTTTTAAATGAAACAAATGAGAGTATTTATAAGACACACAGGAAAATGTATTTTTTTTTAGTATTTTTTAGCTTGATTTAATGATTTACTACTAAATCATTAAATCCACACTGAAGTAAGAAGTATTAATTATCCAAAGATCAATCATACTAACACTATCATTAATATGTTATCTAAGAATAATACACCAGATTTTAATTTTTGCTATCCAACACTATTTAATAAATCACTGAATAATAACCATTTTCAAAATTCATTTAATTTTTATAACTGATAGCCAATTAATATAATTAATCGATTACTAATTGTATGGTTATTCATGTAGCATCATGTTCCCAGCATAATTAGTTATCGTTAAAATTAAAATTAATTTGTTTTTAACATTCTTAACATTATTTAATTTTCATACCTTTTGCACAAAAATTCAACAAATATAAATGAACAAACTTTTCTTCAGTAGCTGTAAAATAACTGACTATACCAAAGATAGTTACCAAAAGTAAATGAAACATTAGGTTGAAGTATCAGGACATGTCCTGACCTCCAAATTATACACTCTTTTGAGTTCTATCTTGAACATTTAGGGGGAAAATATAGTCTATACATTTTGAAATTTGACATCCAGACCCTGTGTCCTTTTCCAGGTAGATGGGGAGGGACATCTAACCA